CCCCCCCCCCCCCCCCCGAGAAGGCAACCCCAAGTCACTGCTCCAGCTCTAAGAGCAGGATCTCACGGTAGCACACAGTCCTCTTCCTTGGGTCCAGATGTGGCCCTGCTGGTCTAGTGGCCCGAAAACTAAAAAATAATCATCCACCCGCCACTTCACACCCACTCCTGCAACATACAACTCGGAGTTGGAAAGGGTAATAGTCATCAAATCCCCCATTAGGAAAAGGGAAGAACAGGGAACACACCGCGGCCACCACCAAGCAGTTATCACACGTGCCGGACTCAAAGTGTGAAGACTCCCTGCTCTGGGGTACACTCTGCCTCCCTTTTCTGCTCTGGGGTAACCCCCTTGTCCACTGTCCGCTGGGGCTCCTGGCTTGGCCCTCTGGGAGCTTCTTCCTTGACCGTTATCATCCTCAGCCGCACATCTGCATGGGTGTTGGAGAGAACGCCCTCCTTAGGGCACACGGCTCTCTCAGCTCACTTCTGATGATGGAGTGGTGGGGGCCCAGAGGTTTCTTTAGGGACTGAACAATCACAGGCTTTTGTGGGCCAGACTTTTGGCTTCTTTGGCTATCCAAAATATCAAAAACTTAGAAACCTTCTGGTCTCTTTGCTTCCAATCACTTTCATACAGGAGTACCACACCCAAAGATCCTTTCTGGACGTAGTTGACAACCCTGCCAACTCTCCTTTTTCACTAACTGGCTTCCCCGCCCAGCCCAGCCCTGCTGCCTCATTTTAATGGTGGCTACATTGAGCCATCAGAAACAAAAGGCTGGGTGGGAAGATGACACTCTTATTCAGATCTTTGCCACAGAGTTGATTCCCATTGCCAGGTAGAAAAATCCTAATGGTAGGTAATATAGTCTGCCTTCCAGATTATCGCAGGGTAAAGCTTTACGAAATAATCTGCCAGAGTAGCAAGGGCCATCGGCTTTCCACCCTGCCATATCTGTATCTTCTTTCCTGTTGCCCAACTACTAGGCCAAGGCCATATATTTTAGATTTCTTTGTTAAACCTGCATCTCACTTTCAGCATAAATTTCTGTATTAGTTAGATATAGGTTAAGCTACTATAACAAAAATCCCCAAATACAGTGACTCGAACATGAGAGAATTCTCTTATTCTCTCACATAACAATTCAGACTAAGCAGTTGGTCCAGGGCAAAAGGCAGCTCAACTCTGCTCCATGAGTTGACCAGGATCCCAAGTTTCTTCTATCTTGTTGCTTCTCCATCCCTATGACCAGAAAGCACATGGTCAAAGGTGTCACCCCATCCCAGCCTGTGGAGGGGACAAGAAAGGAAGTAGAGGTCAAGCAATCTCTTTACAAAAAATGTGATCCAGAAATTTCCCGCATCTCTTTGGACCATATGTTGGCCAAACTTAACCACATGGTCACACTGTGCAGCAAGGGAGTCTGGGAAATATAGTCTCCGGCTGAGTGGCCATGTGATCCGCCATATTGGAATGAGGGTCACTTGTATTACTTAAAGGAAGAAGGAGAAAATGAATACTGGGGAACAATTAATATCTCTGCCTCAGGGAGAAAGGCAAGCTGCGAAGAGTGACATCGATCGTATAGGACAACCTGATGGCCAGTGGAAGGCCCAGCAACCACAGCCATTTGTTCACAGCCTCCCCTCCCCGCAAATGGGGAGTTTCTTAGTCAACCAATTTGGCTGTGCCAATGTTTTGTCTCCCGGGAGCAGGCCTTGCACACTGTCCCCCAGGGACACCCCTGAGAGGGACATGGGAGGATGCCCTTGTTGTGAGCTGTGCCACCTAAGAAGCCTACCTCCCAAGCCTTAAGGCTTGTGCAATCACAGACATCTTTTGCAAAGCTTGCACATTTTTCTTTTGTTAGTTTGTTGGCTTTGATAGTTTGTTTTGAACAATAATTTCCATAGAACCCTGGTTGAACTCTGATAGCTGGTAACCAGCACCAAAAGTTTTGCCCAGGCCCAATCTTTGAATCAGGAGGCCCCCCCAACCCACCCTCTGGCTTCTGTCTCTTAGATTCAGTGCTGGGGGCTCTGCTCACCTTCTTAAGCCTCAGCATCTCCCTTGGCCTTGACCTCCCCTGGGGAGATGAGGCTGCGTTCATCTGCCGTGTTACGCTGCCCCTGCTCCCAGGCTGTGCTTCAAGATGGCGGCATTGGGCAAGTGATGAGAGAAGGCAGTTCTTGGGAAGGGCCAGGGCACCAGTGGGTCACAGAGTCTCCCAATGCTCTGAGTCAAATTGCCTTCTCCTTCTCCCCACCTTGTTCAGGGCAACAGGTCCCTCCCTGCACTGGAATGGCGCAAGCCTCTTACTCAACACATGCAACAGGAAGTTGTTCTATTCACTAGGCTATCCTCTCCTAGGGTGCAACATAGAAAACGCCTGCTACCCGCTGGGCATCTGTGCTGAACGGAACGCTATCCAGAAGGCCGTCTCCGAAGGGTACAAAGACTTCAAGGCAATTGCCATCGCCAGGTGAGTGGGAAAGGCAGGTCGCAGCAATATCCATTCTTCTGTTCAGCCAACATCAACCACACACCTATTATTCACCCATTCATTCATCTAACGTATGTTTATTCTGCACTTCCTACGTGCCAGGCACTGTACAGGACTCTGGGCTGAGTGCTGAGGATAAGGAAAAAAACAAGAAATAGACTCTGCCCTTGGTGAGCCTACAGAGCAGGTAGATAACCAAGGCAACTTTAAGACAAGGGCGGGTGTGTTCTTGTTCTAATAACAGCACAAAGTACAACGGAATCCTTACGAGATACTACAGAAAGGCAGCATAGAAACCTAAAGCTGGAAGGACCTAAAAATCACCTGGTACAGACTCCCTGGCCTCTGTTTTACAGCTGAAGAAACTGAGGCCCAGAGAGGCTGAGCAACATTCGTGGGAGTTAGTGGCAGAGCCGGGACAAAATCAGATCTCTAGAATCTCACTCCAGGCTCATTCCACTGTACCATGCTGTGCCAGGAAATCAAACACTCTTCCCTCTCTCATCAAGCTGATGCTGGGACCCTTCTGTAGGCAAGCTGACTCCTGCACTCAGTGTCAGTCACCTCTAGTGCCAAGAACTAGAATACAAAGACGAGCTGGGGGGTGACAGCCAGGTAAACCCAGGTTATGGTTCAAACTCATGCCATCCCACCCAGGTTCTGGCTGAACGAGAACACTAAACAACACTCTCTCCATGCCCCAAACGTCACCATCCAAGTTCTCACGTGGGTACCCTCAAAGGGAGCTCCTTGAGGTCTCGTTGGCTCTGGACCCAGACTCAATGGCTTCAGGATTCGAGCATGTGAATGGACTCTTTCACTAATTCGGACCCCATCACACCTCTTATTTAATGGTGCATTGCTCTTGTGTGTACCTTTGCATTGTCTGAGAGTTTTCTTAGCAAGTTAATGGTGCAGGGAAAATGACATGGGAAATGTTTAACCCACCCAGGAAGAGATGGCATGACTGACCAAATCTTGGTCTGTCAGCACATCTGAGCGCGTGGGTCAGGTCCTAGGAGTGAGTTATCTCTTTGCTGTAGTCGAGCTGCAGGACCTTTATGGCAGAAATGCAAGCAGCAGAGGCCGATGGGGCTGGATGACAGAAATGAGCCCCCATTTCTTTTACAAGATCCTAAATTTTGCCTCGATCTGGCCCCGAGGTGGACCAGCCTATTGAAGGTTTTGTCCTGAGTAATTGGAGCCAAGGGTTCGCTTATGGAGAAGGGCCCCAGCTTCTGAGAGCCCTCCCTGTGACCGAGGTCTGTCCTGGCTTCCCTTCAGCTGTAGGAGAAATAAACGAGGCCGTGCTGGGAACATTTTGTGCAGATGAGCAAAGATCGGGATGTGAATTACACTTTACAAGAAAAAGGAGGGGAGGAATAACTCAATCTCAAAGCTGATCCAAGAAAATAATGATATTCTGGGGAAAAACAGGCCAAAGTCAACAAAAGAATAATGCGCGGTAGCCTTGTTCTGTTTAGAATGTTCCAAATGAAAGGCTTTTTCTCTTGGTCATTATCTACTTTTAAACATGACGGGGTATTGCTAACGATGATTAGCAAATGTCCTTATTTACACAAAACCTGCATTTTTCCAGCATTCAATTGCTCTCCTCCGGGTATTCAGCCTGCACCGGCATCCCCGAGCCAGAAATGCAGTCATTATTGCTCTAATGATTTGTTAAATTGAGAGCGTGGGTTTAGAGGATGGAAGGGAGTGCGGTCTCCCTTGTTAACACTGATGGGTGTGAACAGTCTAAGAGAGCCCCTTCGAGATCTGTAAGGAGACTGCAGAGCCCAGGACGGGATTTTGCTAACCGGAAGATTAGCTTGTCCTGCTGGGGTCCCAGCTGGTGGAGTCTGATAAGCATGGCCTCAGTGTGTGACCAAGGTCATGACGCACAAGCCACAGGAAGCTATCAATCCCCAGCAGAAGGTGGGAGAGTAAAGGGCGGGGGTGAGGGAGAAAGAGAGAAGCATGGAGGGAATGTCCTGATGCTCCCAGCATGGTCTGGGATGCATCTCCTTCCAAGCGTTTAACTCTTACTTGTGGCAGCAATGTTGAGTAATGGCTAAGAGCCCTGGCTCCGGGGTTGGTGAGGCCTCGTTTCAAATCCTGCTCCTCTGTGGGCCCCCACTATGCTCTACTATGGAGCATGTCGCTGCAACTCTCTGAGCCTGGCTTTTCATCTGTAAAGTGGAGGAGAGTAACGCTTACCCATGGAGCTGTGGCGAGGACTCAGGAAATGATTTCTGTAACGCTCCTGGCACAGAGTACGCAATAATTAAAACTCTTGTTTTAAAGTTATCATTATTACTTCTGTAAGCTGCAAAACTACCAAAGGCAGAGTCCTGTGTTCAGATCCCCTTCTGCCATTTACCAGCTCTGTGACCTTGGGCAGGTCACGTCACCTTTTCTGATCTCTAACATGTGGATAACAAAAATACCTACATTCCCCTGCCTTATAGGGTTGTTAGGAGATGAAATGAGTTAACGCACATAAGGTCCTTAGCACAGTGCCTGGCACAGAGAAGTGCAATGTAAGTGTAAGCCTTTATTATTATGGGGCTGCCTCCCGGTTCTCAGAGCTATGCTGCCTGGATGCCCCATCTTGTAACTTTTGGTGGTTGAACCCTAGGCCAAATCCAACTTCCCAGGGGAGTGCATGTTCACTACCCCCCACCCCCAAACTTGAAAACCCTAATGCAGCAGTTCATCTTGTCCAAGGAGCCATCCATTGGGTAGTTAGCCATGAATGTCAAATGACTGGGAAAGGAAGTGGTGAGCTTGGCAGGGGCCAGATCATACAAGGCCTTACAGCCCAAGGAAGGGAGGCTGAATTTCACTCAGAGCACCTCTCCCATGGTCCTAACCACAATCTGCCTGTGTTATGGCATTTACAGGCAGATTTTATCTCCCCTTCCAGACCGTAAGGTCCCTGAAAGCAGGGATTCCCTGCTTGGTCTTTGTTGCTCCTTCCCCACGCCTGCCTAGCACAGAGCAGGCTCTCAGTCAATATGCGTGGAACGAAGTAAAAAATAACTCAGAGTCCAACTCCACAGAGCTAATGAGAGGCTCTGGCTGTAACATCTGTCACCTGGTCATCACAAGAGTTAATTTGGCTCAGTGGACATCCTGGGCAGGGGTCCCCACCTTCTCATGTTCCCGTGGGTTTTTGTTCTGAAGCTGAGAGTGTGCTCAGAGAGGACCCCACCTTTCCATGGAGCAGAACCATTCTTTGACTGGACCCCCACATACAAAAGGGAGTTATGAGGATTAAATAAAATAGCCCCCCCTCACTCTGTCTCCCCTCAGCTCCTTTAGTCAATTCATAGCATCTGTCTATACCTCCACTTCATACGTGGTTGGTTCGTTGGTTGGTTGTCTGGCTCCCCTCACCAGCCGAAAACTCCTGCATGCAATGAATTTCATCTGTTTGTTCATTGCTGTATCCCCAGCACCCACAGTGCTGGGCATATAGTAGATGCTCAATAAATATTTGTTAATTAAAATGAGATCATGCATGTAAAGTGCTTTGCAGGATGCCTGGCACATTCTACGCACATATTAAACAATGTGATAATTATTATTAATATTAATAAGATAAATGAATTATAAAATAGTACCGAGAACAAGCAGTATATAATAAAACTGTATATGATAAGGTACAAAAATTTTGACAGAGCTTACCTATGTAAAGGGATAAGTGCCCAGTAGTTAGTATAGGCAATAACAATATGTCTACAGCATTCTAAAATTTACAAAGCCCTTCGTACACCTTATCTCATTTTATCTTCTAGCATTCCTACAAAGTAGATGACATGATTCTCCACATTTTATAGGCAAAAAAATGAGCTTTGCGTGACTTAATATGACTTGGTCAAAGTCACACATAGTTAGCAAGAGGAGGAACTGAACAAGAACCAAAATTTAAATGCTGTATTTTTCCAGAGATACTACAGAGCTGTGGGTCTAGGAAAGTAAGGATGATGGAGGCTGCTGGCTTAACCTCTGGTGCTCCAGCAGGCTTGGAGGTTCCTACAGTTAAATCCACTTTCTTTTTCTTTTTTTTTTTATTTGTGAGGAAGATCAGCCCTGAGCTAAGATCTGCTAATCCTCCTCTTTTTTTGCTGGGGAAGACTGGCCCTGGGCTACATCCGTGCCCATTCTCCTCTACTTTATATGGGACGCCGCCACAGCATGGCTTGACAAGCGGTGTGTCGGTGCGCGCCCGGGATCTGAACCAGCGAACCCCGGGCCACTACAGCGGAGCGCGCGCGCTTAACTGCTTAGCGCCACCGGGCCGGCCCCTAAATCCACTTTCTTTAAGCACCGTCCTTCCCGCTGCTCAGAGCTGGAGGCCTGCCTAGAGGTGCCTGAATTCTCAGAAACAACCTCTCAGCTGTAAGCTTCTCTTCTCCAGGCTTTCTCAGATGCAAGGAGCCCAGTTTTCTCTTTGATTCACATGTACCTTATTCTTCATGCCTCAAGGCCTTTGCACATACTATTTCCCTTTCCTGCAACACAGAAAAACCTGGGGCTTCAGAATAGCACCTCTGCTACTTCATCTCACTGAACCTGTTTCCTCACAGGTAAAATGATCATTCTGATACTCAGGTTGTGCTGAGAATTAAATGAAATAATATATATCGAGTGCCTGGTACAGAGCTTGGAGCATAATAGTTGCTCACCAATGGTGACTTATAAACTCTACACTTCCTCCAAAGACGGGGCCACATGCCACCTGCTCCATAAACATTCTCTCTCACTCTGTGGGCAGGGATCGTCTCCCTCTTACCGTGCCTCCTTATTGCATTGTGTTTAAAATGATAACATCTAGTTTTCTATGTTGCCCACTGGGCTGAGCAATCTCTTGAAGGCCAGACACAAATTCTCCTTAACCTTTGTGTCCCTGGGGTGTGGGTGACAGTAAGTGGTCACTACCGTTTATGGAACACGCTAATGAAAACAGCATTCCTGCCCATGGCCTTCCCTCTTGGAAATGTGGAGAGCTGCCACGTGCTTCTCCTGAGCCTCTAGGACACAGCGCGTCTGTGACTCAGGAACTGCCCGATGGGGTTTGACATCAGCTGGAGCGGGGCATGACTCGGGGCCTGAATCCTAGCAATTGTCCTCATGCCTCAGGAGAGACTGATCCATGTTTGATTCTCTACTTCCCCAGTGACTTGCAAGATGATTTTATCTCACCGTGTGGGGCCTGCAGACAAGTGATGAGAGAGGTAAGCAGCGTCTCTTTCTTTCTGGAATGTAAATGGATGCCTCCCTGCTTTCCCAGGCTATGGGAGCACAGCCAGGCTGCCAACCAGGAGCCACAGCTACTGTTCTAATTGCTACAGTGGCCGACCTCTAAAGCCTTCCCAAGCTTGCCTGAATCACCGGAAATTATTCTTCCATTCAACAAATACTTACTGAGTGTCTGCTCTGTGTGCTAGACACCGAGCTAGCTCTGCGAGACACAGTGAAAAGACAGGCCAGGCCCTGCCCTCACAGAGCTTATAGTCTAGTGCAGGAGACTGACAATAAACCAGGAACAAAATAAGTAAGCAGTAGAGTTTCTGAGAGTGATGAGGGCTACTGAAAAAGAAAGCAGAAAAAGGAGTCAAGAGTGACAGAAGGGGCAGTGAGTGATACGCTAGATCAGGGTCAGAGGTCAGCAAACTGGCTTCAGCCTGCTGCTTCTCGTTGTCCACTTAAAAAGCAAATTTGCCTGTTATTTTATCTCAAAATGAATTTATTTGGGAATAGTCAAAAGAATTGCAATTCGGGATGTGCATGGTATAGCAAACCATAGGCAACTCCAGCAAATAAGGGAGCTGCCTCCGTAGAGCAAAAGGGGGAGTAGGGAGGGGCTGTTCTAAAGGAAAGTCCATTGGGGGAAAGTAACAGTTCAGGACGGCAGCGGCTCCTCATTGGCTGAGCTGCGGCGTTTCTCATTGGCTGGGCTGTTGCCGGGTGGGGAGAGAAATTTTCCTTCAGTAGTAAAGTAGTTTTACTTCCCGACCGAGATGCAAGGGTCCACCTCTTCCTGTTTGGTGTAATTGAAGATGTATGATAGCCCGTGAAAGCACCCCCCTACAGGCCTTCCTGACTCCAATTTAGTTCAGGTTTCTTTTATTAATTTCCATATTGTAAATAAAGTTTTATTGGCACACAGCCACATCCGTTTGTTCACATTTTGCCTGTGGCTGCTTTGGCCCTACAACAGCAGACCATGTGGCCCACAAGGCCTAAAATATTTGCTATCTGGCCCTTTACAGAACAAAGTTTGCCAACCCCTACTTTAGACAGCTAGGAAGGCCTTTATTTGAAGATGACGTTTGAGTAGAGATATAAATAATGAGAAAAATGAGGCAGACAAGGGTCTAGAGAGGATTTCCCCGCAGAGGAACCAGAAAGTTTAGTGCCCATACACTTGGTGGGTTTGATAAGTCGCAAGAAGGCCAGAGAGGCTCGAACGTGGTGAGTGAGGGGGAAAAGCAACAGGACATGAAGTCAGGGAGGTGGGCAGGGACCCCATCACACATGGCCTTGTAGGCCATGGGATGGAAGGTATATTTTATTCTAAGAATAAAGGGAACTGGGGGCCGGCCCAGTGGTGCGGCGGTTAAGTGCGTGTGCTCCGCTGCGGCGGCCCGGGGTTCGCAGGTTCGGATCTGGGCGTGCACCAGCGCACCGCTTGTCAGGCCATGCTGTGGCGGCGTCCTGTATAAAGTGGAGGAAGATGGGCACAGATGTTAGCCCAGCGCCAGTCTTCCTCAGCAAAAAAGAGGAGGATTGGCATCTGATGTTAGCTCAGGGCTGATCTTTCTCACAAAAAAAAAAAAAAAGAATGAAGGGAACTGAATTGTACTCTTCAAAATGGTTTAAATGACAAATCTGTGTATTTTACCACATAAAAAAAAGTTGGGAAAAGAAGAATAAAGAGAAGCCATTGGATGTTTTTAAGAAGCAACTTCAGTGATCTGATGTTCTTTTAACAAAAATCATCTTGTTGGAAAGCCCGAATTTTTCCACTCTAAAAACAGAAGGGTGGATTCCATCATGAGTTCTTAATCTGGGCTTAGTGGAACTTTTTGATGTGTGTGTACATTTGGGACAGGGTCATGTCAGTAGCTTTCGTGGACTCTGAGAGAGGTCTCTGTCCTCCCGCGTCCCAAAATTTAAAGCCACCAGCTTGGAGAATCCCACAGGTCCTTGAGATGTGATGTGACATCATTAGCCCCTCTAAATAGAGCATCTCGTTTAATCCTCACCCCGAGCCTATAAGGGAAGTGTATGTCATTATCCCCATTTCTCGGAGAAGTGAAATGACCTGCAGAAGCCACATAGCCAGTCGATGATGAGCTGGCATTCATGGCCAGTTCAGGCTGACTGCAAAGGCCACACTCCTCACGGCTGCCTCCCTGCTGTTATGGTTCTGTAAATGGGACAAATTATTTTCAGCCATGGAGGAGACATAATGATGCTTTGCAGAATAGGAGCTGCTTGCTCCATGGGGGCCTCCGCTTTCGGAACTGTTTCAATTTGGGAGGAGAGGGGGCTGTATCAATTTTGCTTTTGTGCCTTGGGGTTTCAAAGCATCCGTCAACCATGCAAACATCTCCATCTTCCTTCTGCTTCCTGCCGGGACTGCAAACCAGACACAGTTAGCAAAACTCATTTCCCAAATCAAATGAAAAATGCCACCATGAAGGCACTGAATTCACAATATGGACTTCACATCACTTCAGAGGGGCAGACATGGCTGCCCAGCTCCAGGGCATGTCTAAGGCCATAAGGAAACCACATCAGGACACCACCTCCCTGGCTCCCGAGGTCCAATTGCTCATTGCTGTTTTCTCCAAAGTTAGATGTTGGCAAACGAGAGAAGTCAAGTGAAAAAGTTGAAGGAAAGAGGCAAAACGGAAAAAAAAAAAAAAGCAAATAATAAGAAATGAGGTTTGGGGGCCACGGAGGTGGCGCGTAAACTCGCCTCGACACAACTTCATACCCTCAGGCAGAGCCGGCCAAGCCAAAAAATCTCCTTCCTTAAAACAGTAGTTTTAAAAAAGCGAGAAGACGGATTGTGCCTGGTAATAACTTGGTGATTCAGGTCGAAGCGTGGAAGGACAGCAGGCTGCAGACCTGAGCAGTCACTGGCAACCAAACGGTCACTAAGAATGGCCTCCGTTAAGTGAGTACCGACTATTACTGCTGGACCGGTGCTTTCTGCCCTGCCCATCATCTCTAACTTGCACCACACCTGCCGGATAGAGCCTGGATCTGTTGAGTCCAACTCCAGGACTCCTTTCATTACACAACAGCTGACAACTCTCCACCTAGCTTCTTGCCAGTACATTCTTCTGTCTCGAAAACCATTTCACAGATCAAGACACTGAGCCCCAAAGAGTTTAATCATTTGCCCAAGATCCTGCAGCAAGTGGTAGCTCCTGACAGTGTAAGAGAAAGATGGGGAGACAGATTTGGGCTAAAATCTCTGCTTTGCTGACTACCCTTCTAAGCCTCAGTTTTCTCATCAGTAAAATGGGGATCAAAATAGCCCCTGCCTCGAAGGGTAGACAATGAAATCACGCGTGTGCAGTATCCGGTGTGTGATGAGGCAGGCGTGCAACTTCTGGTTGTGAGAAGTAAACGCAATGCTGCAAGGAGAGCGAACATTAGTTGTTTTTTTGTCATGGGAGGAGTCTGGCCCCAGGAGTTGGATATTGTTCTTATAAAGCCCTAGGTGAGTCCTTAATCACAGAATGGAGCGTTTACTGCCCATTAACAATATGCCAAGCACTCTGCTAAATGCTTAACGTGCATTCTTTCATTGGCTCCTCCCTCAAGCTCTATGAGCCAGGTGTGATTATTGTCATCCCCGTTTAACAGATGAGGAAACGGAGGCACCGAGAGGAACATTAGACAGTAAGAGGGAGAGCCAGACTCAAACCCAGGTCAGTCCTAACCCCTCGGCCACACTGCCTCCCTCACGCTGCCTTTGCCTCTTTTCTAGTTTGGCACCAATTGGGATGTCTACATGACCAAGCTGGATGGCACGTATGTTGTCAAGACAGTCCAGGAGCTGCTGCCTGACTCCTTCGGTCCTGATGACCTGCAGAAGATCCAGTGAAGGTCGGAGAACATCCGCCACCTGGGAGATCCTGGCTTCCCAACCTGTGCTTAAGGGGACAGCCACCTGGAGCACTTCATGAAGATGGTCTCACTGACCTGGGGACATCTGTCAAATGGGCCCCAACCCTACAGGGGCTGAGCAGAGATGACTTTTCCAAATTACACTCAGGCACCACGGTCTTCCTCTGAAGTGATAAAGGGTTTCCCTCTGGCCTCCCCACCCTCCTTGTAACCCACTTTGTCCTTCCCAGGAAAAGAGCACCCCACCCTCTCCTTTCCTTCCTGCGAGCCCTCAAAATTCCAGCCAAGTCTGGACTGCCTCCCCATCAGCCGTCCCAAGGTTCTCTCCTGTTCTGAGTGACTTTTCTAATTATAATAGTCACAGAACATCCTGATTCGGGACAGTGTGTCTTGCTCTGTGTCTCTATCACTGCTCGCAGCTCTTAGGAGGGACAGGGTGATTTGTCTTTGTAGAAAGACTTGGACACTTTCTGCTGGGGGAGGAAATGGGCATTTTGGAACTGTGTCACCTTTGGGGTAGAAAGCTGAGTCTTTAGGCGTCCTGCCCCTGTGTTCTCCAGATGGGAGGCGCTGCGGGGCTGGGCCTAACTGCCAATCGCCATTTCTAGAGTCTCTTTTAGGCTCAGTACAGATCTGAGCACTGGACGCTGTCCACCCCCATGGCTGTGTCTGAGAGACTCCAAAGTATAAAGAGGGGGCATGAATTTGTCTAGACAGCGTAACAAATGTTTCTTTGAGGACCTACTGTGTGCCAAGTACTTTCACATGGATTATTTTTTATTTAAAGTGCTCAACAACTTGTGAAGTGCCTTACAGATAAAGGCACTGGGCTTCAAAGAGGTTGAGTGACTTGCTCTAGGACTACAGCAAAGCTCAGACCAGAAACCAGGTCTTGTAACTCCCAGTATGCTCTAGAAACAGTGCACGTTCTTAGCCATGCACTGTGCTAAGGTGTTTTTTTTTTTTTTTTAATTTTTTCCCCCCCAAAGCCCCAGTAGTTAGTTGTATGTCATAGCTGCACATCCTTCTAGTTGCTGTATGTGGGACGTGGCCTCAGCATGGCCGGAGAAGCAGTGCGTCGGTGCGCACCCGGGATCCGAACCCCGGCCGCCAGTAGCGGAGCGTGAGCACTTAACCACTAAGCCACAGGGCCGGCCCTAAGGTGTTTAACATATATGAACCCATTTAGTCTTCACTTAGAAGCTCAAAGTATATTGCCCTCACTTTATCAAGGAGCAAATTGAAGCTCAGAGAGGTTAAGTCACTTGCCCAATGTCACACAGCTAATATGTGGGAGCTAGAATTTGAACCAGATCTGTCTGACTCCAAGTGTTTCTTTCATTCTCCCGCAGCTGGGAGAATCTAGCTACCTATATTTACTGAATATCTTTTATGTGCCAAATACTGCAGAGCGAAAGATGTATAAGAAATAGTCTTTGTCCTTGAGGAACTCGCAGTCAGACAAGGAGAGAGAGGTGTAAACAGGTCTAATGCACAGAAATACACACTGAGGTCCAGGCAGGCACCAAGTGCAAGGTAGGCACAGTGGGGGGCCCCTTCTGGGGTGTGAGGAGGGTCGGGAAGGGGACTGTCCATTTCATTGGTGCATTGGTTATCAAATACTCTCTCTCTCTTTCTCACACACACACACACACACACACACACACACGCGGTTAGGAAAGGGAGGACTGAATAAGCGGAGGAGCAGGCTGGCCCTCTGAAGGCGGCTGACAGATCTGGGTGTCCTCCCTGGAGGAGCTGGCCTTGGGGGCCAGCCTCAGTGGCTAAGGTAAGAATAGAGCGTAGGTTTCCTCTCTCCTAAGTAAGCAAGTAGCTGGGGGCACAGGAAGTGAACAGGTAAGTCACCCCCTCCATGGGAGTCCTTCCCCCTCAGATCCAGAGCATCTGCAGATGTTGCTATGTGGTAAGACTGGCTTTTCTACAACACACTCAGATGTGCCTGCTGTCTTCTCCTGGGAGACAGGAACATAATTCCAACATTGCCGCGTGACGCAAACTCCACTCTGCCTTTCTTTAGAAATGGCTCTTGGGGCCTTCAATACACTTCTCTGAATGTTCTCAACAAAGGGGGTGGAGAAAGAAAACAGAGAGAATGCTGGAAGAAAATACACCAAGATGTCATGGGAATATGTTAGCGATTTTTTTCTTTGTACATATCTATATATTCTTTTAATTTCTAAAGCACTTTTTAAAATGTAACCAGAAAAGAATGGTGTAGCATACTGGTTACAGGTTTGAACTTCGGAGTTGGCAGCCCCCAAACTGTGTGGCTTTGGGCAAGTTATTTCATCGCTCTGAGACCCAATTTCCTTCTTTATAGATGGGGGTGATAGTATCCACTCATAGCATTGTTGCGTGGATTGAATGAAATAATGCTCTCTTAAGAGCCCGGTGTTGGACCTTCAGTAAGCTCTTGATAAATGGCAGCTGTGACTTTTATTAAGGTGACAAATTTTGGTCCTTTGAGGATGGATTTGATTTTTGCAAATAGGCAAGATCTTTTTAGCCAATCTTTTCATTCATTTAACAATTATTTCTTGAGTGCTACTGTGTTCTAGGGCTGGGGCCAGACCCGGGGGACGCAGCAGGGAATATGACCGATGAAGTCCCTGCCTTCACAGGGCTCTCAGTCTCCCAGTGGGAAATGAGATCCAAATAATCTCCTGAAATAGGTACTTCAAGACAAGCATTACCCAAGTGAAGAAAGTGTTCTGGGAGCAAGTAGCAGGCGTGGAGCTTGCCTAAGAATGGGCAAGACAGCCCTGAGGAGGTGATGTTTCAGCCTGAGCACACGCAGGCTCATCCAGTTAGGGAATGAGGTTTGGGGAAGGGCAAAGAATGAGGACCAACTAAAAGACTAAGCCCGGTGTTCTTACACTTCATGGAAACAGACTGGGGAAGGCAATTCACAAAAAAGGATTCCAGAAATTATTTGAACAATGTCCGCTTGAAAGAACAACACTCATTTGGGTGGAGAGAGGCTGGGATGTTTGTTTAAAATAAGGGCACTTTCACTTTGCAGTCCCACTGTTCTGAGGGCCTGTGATTTCAGAGCAGCACGTGCACTATCGTTCAGGGCCATCTGTGTTGTTTAGGACCCTAAAGCCCAGTCCCGGATTCCCACGGGAATAAATGGAAGCATGTGTATTTCTGCTGCTCTTGCCAGCTGCTGCTAATTGCTTATGTAAACTACAAGATTCTTTAGGATTTCCTTTTGGCAGGGAGGAGGGCATAACTCTGACAGACACTAGGAGTAATTTAGATGCCTGGGTCAGAAATGAAGCCAGAAAACACTGTTCAAGGATAAATAATGGAATGGCGTAATATGTCTTACACACATGTAGTATTTGTATATGGTCATATGAGCACAGAAACAGGCGAGCAAGGAACACCCAGTCTGTTAACATAGTTTTTGAGAGGTATGGGAAGGGGAAGTTAAGGGACAGGATATTAAAAACTCTATGACTGAACAGAAAAAAATACGACATAACGATCACATTAGTTATCTATTGTCATGTAACAAATTATGCCAAAATTTAGCAGCTTGGGACAGCGAAACTTTATTATCTGACAGTTTCTGCAGGTCAGGAATTTGGGCTGAGCTGCATCATCTGGCTCAAGGTCTCGTATAAGGCTGCAGTTAAGGTGTCAGCCGGGGCTGCAGTCTCATCCGAAGGCTCGACTGGGGAAGGATCCACTTCAAGGCGCACTCACGTGGTTGTTGGCAGGATTCAGAGCCTTGTGGGCTGTGGCTGTTGCTATTCAGTCCCTTGTGACGTGAGCCTCTCCACAGGGCAGTTCACAACACAGCAGCTGACTTCCTCAGAAGAAGTAAGCAAGAGAGCAAGAGAGGGAGCAAATCAGAAGCCAGAGTCTTTTCGTAACCTAACCACAAAAGTGACATCCTATCACTTTTACCACATTCTGTTCCTTAGAAGCAAGCCACTAAGGTCCAGCCCACACAAAGGCATGGATACCAGGGACTCTAAAGATGTAAACATTGAAAATGCACATGGACAGAGAAAAGAAAATAGAAAAGTGGGTAAGAATGGCTGGAGGGCCAGAGGAAGCAAGCCAGTTAGCCCTGCTAAGTTCACTTCATTCCAAAGGGCAGCCTTCAGTTTCAGACAGGGCGTGGACGTGGCCAGCTTTGTGCCTTAAATAGTTCAGTCTGCCAAATCAAGAAATATTAGAGATCTGAAGGAACCTATAGGAGAAATAACTAAAAGAGTAAAATATCTTCACCTCTGGGTTGAGAGAGTTGGAAGAGATTGTCGCTTTTCATGATGTACTATCTATATATACTGTTAGTGTTTTTTAAACCATGTATATATATTACTTTGATTTAAAAGGACTTTTTTTTTTTTTTTTTTTGAGAGGAAGGTCAGCCCTGAGCTAACACCCATGCCAATCCTCCTCTTTTTGCTGAGGAAGGCTGGCCCTGAGCTAACATCCATGCTCATCTTCCTCCACTTTATGTGGGACCCCGCCACAGCATGGCCTGACAAGCGATAAGTTGGTGCACGCCCGGGATCTGAACCTGGGCTGCCAGCAGCGGAGCGCGTGCACTTAACCGCTACACCATGGGGCCAGCCCCTAAAGGACTTTTTAATTTAAAAAAACAGAATAAAAAGAAAGAAGCCATAGAAAGGAAGTTCATTTAGCAATAATGTAGTGTAAATTCTAGACAGCAAATGCAGTAGTTGATTCTGTTGGGGGCAGAGGGTAAGCTATTCAACAGTCCTGTTGCTTTCTTCTGGCTCCACCCCACCCCCTCCCTCACTCCTGGGAAGGAGGAGTGAGTCACGTGACTGGGGAGTTTGCAAGGATAGCCCAGCCCCTTCCTCTCTCCTCCCCTTGGGAGTGAACCTGCCTAACTGAGGGCTTGTGTTCCCATATGGCTCTCACACGAGGGCTGGGAATCCAGCAGGCTCCACGCTGGGTGCTAGGGGATATAAGGTTTAAAAATCACCATCTCTGTCCTTGGAGACCTCACAGTTTAGAGGAGTAGAGAGAAGGGGCATCTAGCCTAATCTAGGAGAGGTCAAAGAAGGCTTCCTGGAGGAGGTGACCTTAAGTATCAATGGGGATTCTTTCAAAGAGGTAAAGCAAGACAGAGGGATCAGCATGATGGTTGGGACAACTGCAAGTAATTCAGTATTGCTGGACCATACAGGGCAGGGCAGGGGGACAGCAAGAAAGATGCTAGGGCTAAATAGTGAAGGACCTTCTGTGCCAGACTAGGGAACTTGGGCTTTATCCTGAGGGCAATGGGCTAGGGCAAAGAGCCTGTGAAGAACTTTAAGCAGCAGGTGACATAGCTGTATTTTTACTTTGACTAATGACGGCAGGGCAATAAATTTGTTGGACTGTCTGAACTTCCTAACAATGCAACATCTTCCCAATCCGCCGTCATCACATTTTCATCCGTCTTGCCCAGGCAAAACAGAGACACTTCTTCCCAGTGAAATCGCACTCTCTGCCCACCATTGTCTGATTCTAACCTCCAAACACTACAGCCCAGGAGTTTCAAGTAGCCAGATTTTGATCAGGCAGCAGCTTTGCTCTGTCAACAGTTTTAACAAAACTCCTTCCACCTCTGCTGGCAATTTTGAGACAGCATTTCTGAAATGGTCTGTGGATAAAGGATGTTGCTGCCCTGGGAAAATTTGTCTGTCTCCTGCCAGGAGGAGACAAAGAGCGCTGAGATGGTGCCAAAGGACGCCATCCAGAAGGGAAGGGCGAAGAGCCCTCAATAATGCTGTTTTTTTTTAAGGCTTGTCTTTTTCCATTTTCACATTAGCATCAGCTTTTTTTCCCCATGTCCTTTGGGGGAAGGTTAAACGATGCTTCTTAGGAATATTATGTAATTTATCAAAATCATGCAGTCTTGCCGCCTGGAGGGAAAGGCGTACCATGAAGACCCAGGATGCCCACAGAGCAGAGTGTACACCAAAGAGGAGTCCTGCGGCCTCTCCAACAACCCCCCTCCATTCTCCTCTAATTCTGTGGCTGAGCGTATCAAAGCCTGCCCAGTACACAGCTGATGTTTAATAAATGTTCTATGAATGAATGAGACTCATATAGAATATTAAATTTGCAGTATAAACAGATTTCTCAGCAGAAAACCATATACCATATCCCCAACTTCACCTTGTTGGGATACCACTAAAGAGATAGAAGATGTTATGGGAGAACCTCAGTTCGATCCCCTGAGACTTGGTGCCACCATAGAAAGACTTTTCCTTCTCAGGGGAACTGATGGGGACAAACGGTATGATCCCTAAGAAAGGCAGCCCCACCACAGCAAGGCTGCATCTCTGCCCAGAGAATGGAGAACATGGAACCACAACAATCCCAGCTGGAAGCCACTCTGTGTAGAAATCTATTTGCTCGCCCTTTCCATTTGGATGTCTGCTGAAGAACCAAGCTTTGCGCCGTGCTTGGCTCAGACCTGTCAGAAGCAACTTAGATTTTTCTACAGAAGGAGAAGTGAACCAGTCCAGCACTCTCTGCTGAATAAGAAACTACACAGCCCTCAATGGAGGGTTAATTAACATCAATCTGGAGATTTCATTCCAGCAGGTGGCTGGGTCAAGCATCACAGGTCACTTGCAGCGTCAGGGTACAAATCCAAAGGCTGATAAAACACACTCTTTAACTCAAAACAATCAATACAATGTCCCTTTAGTGAATACACCTTACGAGTCGTGTAGTTGTCACAAGCCTCAGGGTAAAAGGTTACGTTCCTAGGAGAGTAAAGAAAATCCTCGTAGTTATTAAATCATTAAATATCTCAGAGAACCTCTTGTTCCTTTTCGGCAAACATTAAAGAGAAGAGCCTCAATGATAATAACACACAGCAGATGAGTAGATTTAAACTAAATGAAACCTTTGTCCCAACTGACTAGGCTTCCACAGGGGAGCCTGTGGTCCCTGGCCATTTGTTGATAATTGCTGAAACTGGATAATGGGTACGTGGGGTTCACTATACTATTCTATTTTTGAGTATGTTTGAAAATTCCACTTTAAAAAAAAGAAAAAGAAATCACTCAGTATGAATCTCTTTATCAGCCATTCCTAACAGCAGCTTTGGGTAACAGGGCTTTGCCACTAACAAGCTGTGTGACTTTGGGCAAGTCGCTCCATGACTCAGGGACTCAGCTCACTTATCTGAAAAATGTGGCCTTTGGGTGAGATTTCTCTTGGGGTCCTAAGAAGTAAGCAGGGACTGTGGGCTTGTAGAGGGGAACCTAAGGGCATTGGGGGAGGCAAGGACTCAACAATCAGAGCAATGTGAACTTTAACCTCTGCTCTGACAATTACTGCATGTGACCTCAGACAGTCACTGCCCTTTCTATGCCTCAGTTCTCTTATCTATAAAAATGGCATTCCTATCTCATTGGTGGGAAAATTGAATAAACAGATATAAAGAGTCTGGCACGGTGGGTGATAATAAATATTAGTTTCCTATCTCAATTTCTCGATTTTGCCCAGGACCAGCGATGTTCACACTAAGGTCCGACCTCCCTGACACGCAACCCCTCCCCTCTGGGTCCAAAGTGCAAAAGGGCAAGAAACTACCCGCCGCGCAGGCGCGCACAGCGCCCCCGCGCGCCCACGCGGGGAACCGCCAGGGTGGAGGCCCCGCCCATCTGCGCCCGCGCATGCGCAGAGGCGCCGCCCCCGAAGTTTGTTGTGACAGGCGTCCCGGACGCCGGCGGCGGCGGCGGCGAGACCGGGCCGGCG